TCCAGACAGAGATGGGTCCCCTCAGTCCTGGCATCTAGGTGTTGGGAAGCAGTGATGAACTAGAGTAAGATCATTTTCTAAATTTCAGTTTCTTCATTTGTAAAATGAGATGGAGTAATAGCACCATCTTATGAACACAGTGCTTGGTACAGAGTAGTCACTCAACACGTTAGTTATTGTAGTTAATCAGCTTTGTCTATTATTGATCTAATTTCATGTATTTGATGTTTTTGACCTTCCAACTCTAGTTTAAAAGAAGTGTTGTGATCTTCCACCTTATGTATTCTTCTTCCCAATCCATTTCCTAATATTACTACTCATCTTATGTTTTATTAATATGATTAGGGCATTTGAAGTCTTGGTGAGGAGGTCTTATCTAAAGTCAAGCAAAGATGAAACTAAAGTGGTTAGGAGTATATTTTTCCAATTAAGCTTGAATATACATGGACGCTCTAAAGTTTATATCTCATATAGATTTTATTCATGATTATGTCCTAGTCTAAGATTGGGTTATAAACTAGAAGTAACTAAAGAAAAAACTCTACATTTTTTTTAAGTACTAGATTTTATGCTTGATTAAATTAGAAAATATTGAAATTCCTTAATACTCTTTTGCAATCTTGCATCTTTCACAAACTGCATACTTTTAAACTCGCTATTTTATTAACAAGAAAGAGCACTCCTTCCTTTCATTCTACTCCACCCACTCATGTTCTCAGATGTTCATGGCTTGGCCTGATAAATGTACAGCTCATTCTAAGCCCATACCATAAAATTTATCATTAAGTTTCAAAACTTCTCTTTCAGTGTAGACTGATATCATAGCTTATAACTCCTTATCCAAAGAATTATTTTAATGCAATAGTACTAAGAACACACACACACACACACACTGAAGTTATTCATATAACTTGTTAAGGAAATAATTAAAACTCATTGGGGTGACCCAATAATTAAAAACAATGCTACTTCTTGGGTTGTTTATTTCCACATTTTTATTACAAAAAATAAAACATTTCAACTTTTATTTTCCTCTTATAGACTAGAACGATAATTCATATATTGACATTAACATTAAATGGCTCATATATCTTATGGGTTATACATTTGTATTTCAGTACAATCTTGTCCATTAACAACATAGTAAATTATTTTTATTGTATCTTCTAGGTAGGATTAAAATAAATAACTATAGAAATAATTTAACAAATCTTTATCAAGCACCTTTTACGTTCCAGGTTCTCGGAACACGAAATAAATTACAAATGATCCCGCCATTAAGAAGCTCACAGTCTAAAGGGGAAGAGAGACAAATAAATAGACAATTTAATGTAGTATGACAGCTTTGAGAATGGAATGCACAAAGAACTATGGGAAACTTAAGAGGGCCAATTAATCCAGAACAGTAGTTAATAAAATTAGAAGAATTTGCCAGGAATAGAATTAACAGTGGGTGAGAGGAATAACATTCCAGGTATGTCAAACAGCCTGGGTAATTAGCTGAAATTAGTTCAGGTGAACAGACTGGGAATGGCTGTAACCAGTGTCTGAACCCAATCAGGCCTCTCATCACAGCTGTTTCTCTCTCCTTTTTGGCTCCTTATTCTCTTACTGAGGATCTGTTTTCTCTGCATGGCAGGGAACAGTTTCCTCATCAAAGAGGAAAGGGCTTCTCTCTTCCAGCTATGGAAGAGGGTGGTTTGGCTCATGTACTCACCCCTGGGCCAAACGCTGTGGCTAGGGGAGGTAAAAACCACACCAGACCAGTTGCCATTGAGTCAATTTCAGCTCATGGCAACCCTACGCGTATGAGAGTAGAACTGTACTCCATTGGGTTTTCAAGGCTGTGATCATTCAGAAGCAGGTGGACAGGCCTTTCTTCCAAGATGCCTCTGGGTGGGTGTGTTCAAATTGCCAACCTTTCAGTTAGTAGTTGAGCACTTAACCATTTGTGCCATCCAGGGACTCTGACAAAACTGTAGAGACAGTAAAAAGGTTAGTGGTTGCCAGAGATTGGGGGTGGGGTTGAGAGGTAGTGTACTATTAAAAACAGCATAGGAAAGATGCAAGAAGGGAGATTCTCCCTAATTACCAAACCAAACCCGTTGCCGTCCAGTCAATTCTGACTCATAACTACTCTGCAGGACAGAGTAGAACTGGCCCACAGGCTTTCCAAGGAGTGGCTGGTGGATTCGAACTGCTGACCTTTTGGTTAGCAACTGTAGTTCTTAACCACTGTGCCACCAGTGCTCCTCTCCCTAATTAGGGTGACCTCTATTAACAGATGAAGGTGAAAGGCAATAAGGGGAATTGAGCAAACAAAGACAATCCACATACATTACAAAAACAGATTAAAATATATGTGTACATACGCTACTATACAAAGATATTATTCAATAGAATGCTTTACAGGTTTAATTTTTTCCGTACTTTGAAAATTTCAAAGTGCTTTCTTCATTTCCTCTCTTATTGAATATATTAAATAAAGTAGTGGATACTTTCCTTTCCAATTACACCTTTGTCAAGAGAGACAGGGGCAGAAGAGAATGCTGTTGGGTCTAAAAGTTATGCTCACTGAATAGTAGAAGGAATTGGGGAGAAGATATTAGAAAAGACAAGATAACAAATATTCAAATGTTTATATTTCAAATATTCAAATGGCAACCATAGAGGATGGAACCAGGACTAGGAGGCAAATGTTACAGGGAGGAAGTCTTCAGTTTAAAGTGAGAAAGGTTTTCTAATGATCAGAGCAATCGTAGAGAAAAGGACTCTTTTGTGAGATAATAGAAATGCTATTACTAGACGTATTTGAGCAGGGGTAGGCTGACCCCGTCAGTGTTCCTTTAGAGGAGATTACTGGATGGCCTTGGAGACTGGACTGCCTATTTCCAAGGCCCCTTCCAATTCTGAGAAGATAGTATGGCACAATCATCATTCGTCTGATCCAACCAACCAAGAAACTTGCATATAGAGGCATACCTCGTTTTCATGGCACTTCACTTTATTGTGCTTCAGAGATATTGTGGTTTTTACAAATTGAAGGTTTGTGGCAACCTGTGTTGAGCAAGTCTATCGGTGCCATTTTTCCAACAGCATGTGCTCACTTCATGTCTCTGTGTCACATTTTGGTAACTCTCACAATATTTCAAACTTTTTCTTTATTATTTTATCTGTTATGGTGATCTGTGATCAGTGATCTTTGTTGTTTCTATTGTAATTGTTTTAGGGTGCTACAAAATGCGCCCATATAAAACAGTGAACTTCATCGATAAATGTTGTGTGCATTCTGACTGCTCCATCAACTGGTCTTTCCCTGTCTCTCTCCCTCTCCTCGGATCTCCCTATTCCGAGACACGACAATATTGAAATTAGGCCAACTAATAATCCTACAATGGCCTCTAAGTGTTCAAGTGAAAAGAAGAGTCACACGTCTCTCACTTGAAATCAAAAGCTAGAAATGTTTAAGCTTAGTGAGGAAGGCATATCAAAAGCCAAGACAGGCCGAAAGCTAGGCCTCTTGTGCCAAACAGTTAACCAAGTTGTGAATGCAAAGGAAAAGTTCTTAAAGGAAATTAAAACTGCTCCTCCAGTGAAATGATAAGAAAGCAAAACAGTCTTATTGCTAATATGGAGAAAATTTTAGTGGTGTGGATAGAAGATCAAACCAGCCACAACATTCCCATAAACCAAAGCCTAATCCAGGGCAAGGTCCTAACCCTCTTCAATTCTATGAAGGCTGAGAGAGGTGAAGAGGCTACAGAAGAAAAGTTTGAAACTAGAAGATGTTGGTTCATGAAGTTTAAGGAAGGAAGCTGTCTCCATAGCATAAAAGTGCAAGGTGAAGGAGCAAGTGCTGATGTAGAAGCAGCAGCAAGTTATCCAGAAGATCTAGCTAAGATAATTGCTGAAAACAGATTTTCAATGTAGACAAAATAGCCTTATATTGGAAGAAGATGTCACCTAGGACTTTCATAGCTAGAGAGGAGAAGTCAATGGCTTCAAAGCTTCAAAGGACAAGCTGACTCTCTTGTTACGGGCTAATGCAGCTGGTGACTTTAAGTTGAAGCCAATGCTCATTTACCATTCCAGAAATCCTAGGGCCCTTAAGAATTATGATAAATCTACCCTGCTAGTGCTCTACAAATGGAACAACAAAGCCTGGATGACAGCACAGCTGTTTACAACATGGTTTACTGGATATTTTAAGCCCATTGTTGAGAACTACTGCTCAGAAAAAAAGATTCCTTTCAAAATATTATTGCTCATTGACAATGCAGCTGGTCACCCAAGAGCTCTGATGGAGATATACAAGAAGATTAATGTTGTTTTCATACCTTCTAACACAACATCCATTCTGCAGCACAAGGATTAAGGAGTAATTTCGACTTTCAAGTCTTATTATTGAAGAAATAAATTTCATAAGGCTATAGCTACCATAGATAGTGATTCCTCTGATGGATCTGGGCAAAGCAAATTGAAAATCTTCTGGAAAGGATTCACCATTCTAGATGCCATTAAGAACACTCATGATTCATAGGAGGTCAAAATATCAACATTAACAGGAGTTTAGAAGAAGCTGATTTCAACCTTCAGGGATGACTTTGAGGGGTTCAAGACTTCAGTGGAGGAAGTAACTGCAGATGTGGTAGAAATAGCAAGAGAACTAGAATTAGAAATAGAGCTTAAAGATGTGACTGAATTGCTGCAAGCTGATATAAAACTAATGAATGAGGAGTGGCTTCTTGTGGATGAGCAAAGAAAGTGGTTTCTTGAGATGGAATTTACTCCTGGTGAAGATTTTGTGAACATTGCTGCAATGACAACAAAGGATTTAGAATATTACATAAACTTAGTTGATAAAGCAGCAGCAGGTTTTGAGAGAATTGACTCCAATTTTGGAAGAAGTTCTGTGGGTAAAATGCTATCAAACAGCATTTTGATAGAGAAATCTTCCCTGAAAGGAAGAGTCAACTGATGCAGCAAACTTCACTGTTGTCTTCTTTTAACAAATTGCCACAGCCACCCCAACCTTCAGCAATCACCATCCTGATCAGTCAGTCAGTAGCGATAAACATCGAGGCAAGACCCTCTACGAGCAAAAAAGATTTCAACTTGCTGAAGGCTCCGATGATGGTTAGCATTTTTTAGCAATAAAGTATTTTTTAATTAAGGTCTGTACATTGTTTTTGTAGACATAATGCTAATGCACACTTAATAGACTACAGTATAGTGTAAACATAACTTTTATAAGCACTGGGAAACCAGAAAATTTGTGTGACTCACTTTATTGCATTATTTGCCTTATTGCGGTGGTCTGGAACCGAACCCGCAGTATCTCTGAGGTATGCCTGTAGTGGGATATCTTTCTTATATTTGAGTATTCACTAAATACTGGTCGGCTAGATTCTTATTTTTCTACTACAGAGCACAAGTTAAGAAGAAAACTACATACTGACTAAAATGTTTTGCAGATACTTTTTCTATGGTGCTGACCATGGATTCAGATAAACTATATAGTGACTACTATTATCATCTGCTTAAAAAAAAGAGAACAAAGGCTATATCAAAAAAATCTTGGAAAGCTATAAACTTTAACAAAGTTAGATATTAAGGGTTCTATAGAATAATATTTTTGTTTTTTTTTCCTTTTTGATACAGAAAAAACAAAAAGGAGCTGAAAGTCCTTTGTCTTGGTATCTCTAAGCAGTACACTACATGGTCCTATAAGGTTGTCAGGAAGAAAAATAGTGTGGTAGTTCGGCATGTAGTTAAGTGTTTTGGAAACTTTCCACTCATTTCCAGCCTCTGAGAGCAATTGCAGGCTTGTAGAGAAGTAATGGGAATCTTAATCCTGACAAGCTTTAGTCTTATGGTGAAATTAATTTTAAACGAAACCACAGGCTTAACCTGTTTTAAAGTCGTCTCACTGTTTGACAATTCAGTCGGATTCCACTGAAATAGAATTTTTAAAAGTTATGGAAACACATATTTATTATTCATTTAAACATATTGACATTAATTTTACTTAGCTAGTCTTCCCATAAACCTAGTTATGCCTCCTACTTAATCTCTAAGTCAGTTTCAAATGGCTTCTTGAATTTTTGAATTATACAGAAAATGCCAAACTCTTGCCATTTAAAGTACTATAATATACTAACACAAATACATTAAATAATGCATTTGAAATCACTTTCATTAAAGTATTTCTTATAAAAATATCATTTCATGATTTTTCTACTTTACAAAACAAGAAAAATGTTTTTAATAAAGTGCAAAAAATTAAAGCTTTAAGTTTCATACTATTTTCCACTTAGTTTTCTTCTAAATGTTAAATATAAAAAAGTAAAACAGTGAACAGATAAAGGTATACCTTTTGCAACCTAATCATCATTTTGGTTTTAAACTCTCAAGGTTACAAGGTGTTTACAATTTTTCCGTTTATCTTTCCAGTTCTGCTTCTAGAATTTCCCCCCACGTATCTGCATCCATTGGGTACATGATTTTCTCTGGTAGGCTAATGGGAGAACATATGTTGCTGTATCTGCCACTTAGCCATTCATGCTTCACTTTACTCTTCTGGTAATTCCTCAGTAGTATTACCTGAAAGAGGTAAAATATCATCATTAAAAAAGAGTATAGTAGATGGTTAGTGAGTTTGTTTGAAACTAGACAAGCTGATTGACAGGACTGAAAAGAAGATCAAGTACTTACATTAAAATATGTATATATATATAGTAATAAATGTATATGTGTGCAGAATTATGTATATGTGTATATATACACAGTGAACAACAGGGTTTTCTGGGGATTTTGGAGAAGGTGGCATTAAAAGAAGTAGCCACTTTCCTTCTGGTTAACAGAGAAAATTTTCTGGATTTAAGACTTTACAAAAATGATTTAAAAGGATAGATGGGGGATAGGATGGTTAGGAAATTAATAAATCAACTTCAAATCATTTTCAAAAGTCAAAACACTGTGCATATGAAATCCTTCTTCCAAGCAGAAGACAGAAATGGCTCAAGGCTACCACACCAACACTGCCATAAACACTACAGACTGCAAGGATTAAACTTACCCTCCAGGAATAACCGCTTTCTAGATCACCATCTATTTCTCTTTGGCACACAGCTCTTACAGTCAAACAGTGTGGTTTCCACAAAGAGTCACTGTTTTTTATCATGTCATTCCAGCTCCTGCATGCCATTGAAGCCCTGCATAGGCTCTGAATGTCTAATTGATGGAAAATGTTTAAAGTGACTTCTGGAGGCAGTAGTTCAACAAAGTTGTTTCGGCTCTCTTTTTTCTTCTCCTCAGTGTTCACAGAGTTCAAGTCTATGTCAGAAACTCTTGAATTATTGTTCCTCTTCGAATTTTTCTGCATAGTTTGATGTTTCAGTAAATTCTCCTCATATGTAAGCTAAAAGGCAAAATTTAAACATACTCAGTCCTTCAGTTCAGACTATAGATTCTACTTTTAACCAGATATTTTTGGCTTCAAATTGCTATTAGTGGTATAATTTAAAGAACCAGCTTCCCAATGTATAAAACGGGGCCAAGGACGGGCTTCTGTGCAGCATCCTGTCTTTGCAAACATTAACCTGGATAGCATGTAAAACACTTATGACATGTGAATTGCACATAAGAGGCACTCAATGTATGTTCCCTTTTTCTTTTTAAATGTTTTTAGTAATGGGGTTTGTCTCTAAGAAAATGTTTTTTTCCAGTCCCAGAGACATCTGAAACAGAGAAATGATTCTTCATATGTCAGACCATATTTGTTGAGTTTTGTAGCTGCCATGACTACTCTGAGAAGACATTTGATTCTCAGTATTAATTTAAAATACTTTGATAATGTCTAAGATTCAATCTTATTAAATATCTGAATATTTGTTGTCTGTGGTGCCTTGTCATTAAGTTCTTAATTTTACAACTTGTGACTTAATCATAAATCTGACGGACTTTTAGTGCTTTATTATGTATTAAAGCCAAAAACCAAACTGTCCAGTCAATTCCCACTAGCAGGCCTTCAAATTTTATACAGAGGCATTTGGAGAAAGCTCTGGGCAGGGGGTTAGTTCAGGCTACTGATAGGAAACCAAGGGTAGGGGGAAGGAGAAAGAAGATGTGGTTATTCTTGAAAAGAATGTGGTCAGATAAGTTCCAGGAAGACTGTCCTGCTCTAGGAAACATCATATAGGAAATTTCGGGGCGGGCGGGGGGAGGAATGCTGACGCCAGTAATCTTTAGAAATAGAAAATACTTGAAAAACAAGGTATTTTTGAAATATACTGAGTCACGTTGACCCTGTTAAATTTTATGTATAAAAGCCTCCTTCTCTGTTTGAACCACGAAGCACTTTGTACTTTTACCTAGTGTTGCCTGGCTACAGCTGTTCTATTCCTCAATAAAACTCTTCTTTTACTCTCCTCAGAGTAAAGATTTTGTTCTCTTTGACATTTCTGATGTCAGAAGTGGGACCTTGAAGGCGCGTTACCTTCCATGACCCTCGAAACATCGAGGAATTGCGCTCCGGTACCAGCTGAGCTGTTTGGGCTCTACACTTCTGCAAATTCTTGTGAGTTGCTTTAAGGTAAATAGCCTCTCGAATCGGAGCTCTGCTCTCTTTGCATTGATAGCTCTTTGAGTTTTATTGTGGATTTGCTTCTTGCAAGTAAAGTTTGTTTTGCTGCAGTGCAAACTCAAATATTTATTGTGAGTTTTGGTGAATTGTAGTGCTTAGGGCTATCTCAGTATGGGGTATGCTAATTCAAAGAAAGCAGCTGATTTTCCTAGTGGAACTCTGGCTTGCTATATGGCCAAGAATTATGCGTCTAGGTTTTGTTTGTATTTGGATTTCTGTTTGAGCTCCCTAACGACAGTTTAGAAAATCAGTGGCCACTTTTGGGTACCTTCCAATTGGAGAGACTAGTCTATTTAATGTCTAAAATAGGAGAGTAGGTTTCTAGCCAGCAGAATGAATTAGGTTCAGAAGAATGAAACTAGGTGTCATATAGTTATTATGAAGGAATCCCAGAGTCTTTTAAGTCACAAAAATATGTGGGCACAGGTTAGAGCATCTTAAAAGCCCCCAGGGTACTCACTACCAACAGAAAGACATCCATGAAGGGGTAAGCTGTGACATGAGATGGGCTAGAGCATTAGGCTGTCCACCAGCTGAAAGACAACTCTCATGCAATAGAGGCACTCTGTGAAACAAAACACTGACCAAAACCAGTGGCAGACCACCTGCTAGGAATTTTATTTGACTCTGGGAGACCAAAGTTTCAACCTATTCTTAACATCCTTAATAAATGAGCCTGGATATCCCCCTGCCGGGATGCTGGTTGGAGTTAAAAAATGCTATAAGTTGAATATACCAGAAGTAATTTGGAATTTCAGTGATCACTTTGGGAAAATGAGTTCCCATCTGTTCTGTTTTTTTCCTTCCACTTTGGGAAAATGAATTCCTGTTTGTGTTGTCTTTTCTTTCCTCTGGGGCAATTCTGTTTGGTGCTCAGGTTTGTCAGAGGGTCTGAGATCCCTCCATCTGAGACTCTATCAAGTTAATAAGCTTTATCTAGAACTTGTTTTCCTGCTGAATTGAGTCTATCTTACCAAAGAATTGCTGCAGACATTTTAAGAAACTAAGTTCCCTGTTTGCTTTATTCTGTATAAGCTTGGTATTTGAGCCGCCCTCACAGATAGGTGAACTTACGCAGTTTTTCTGTCTCGTTTTGTTTTGAGAGGTTGTCTCTTATCTAGAAAGAGCACTGTGTCTGAGTTTCTGTCTTGCTTCAGGAGGCCATGGCTGGCAGTTGCTGTTTTTCATGAGGACGCCTTAAATTTCAGTTCTTTTCTCATCCAAGAAAAATTGCTTCTTGTGCCCAGGTTTTTAGTAGCTAGTCTGACAAACTGTGATATAAATCACTCAATTTGAAAAGTGCCCTGAAAAAGGATTAGTTATTTTGATTAGTCTAACAAGGCCTTAAAAAGAGACAAATTATTCTAAGTTACTTCGCTAAAGGATCCTATAAAGCATGTAAAAGACAGGGTTATGAAAATACAATAATTTCCTACCTCTGGATGGTATTATTAAATTAGATTATAATATTTCTTCAAAGAAGTTACTCTAATCAGTTTAATGATAAATAAGCATTTATATAAATTAAATAGTCCTAATATTTCCAGGAACTAATGAAAGTGAACTCATTCTAACAAAGACTTTTATGTTCTGCAGTATGTCAATCTTAAAAACAAAACCTTTCTAAATAACTTAAACAAGATATTACATGAAATGTGTTTTATTTAAGGAAAAAGGGATAATTTTGTCTTAAAGTATAACTAGTAGTTTCAGAATGAGAAGAAGGAGGCATAGAACAAACCAGGGTGGGGGGTGGGTGGGGGGATGGCTAGCCAAGAATTGACTTTCTGATTCAAAAAAAAAAAAACAGCTAATAAAATCTAAGGTTAGATTGAAAAATATGGGAAATGGAGAAAGTTTGAATGAAAATAGACTATTTAAACAAAGTTTATTTCAATTTTAATTATGTTTTGTGGTATATAGGCAGGAGCCCTGGTGGCACAGTGGTTAACAGCTATGGTGAGCTATGATTGCTAACCAGAAGGTCAGCAGTTCAAATCCACCAGCTGCGCCTTGGAAACCCTATGTGGCAGTTCTACTCTGTCCTATAGGGTCGCTATGAGTCGGAATTGACTCGACAGCAATGTGTTTTTTGGTATATAGGCTTAAAATAATTTTCAAGATCTTCATGTAACTTACTGATATTAAATTAATATTCATTATAATCTAAATTTATATACCTTTGCTTTTTATGCCACAGAGAAAGGATATATATTTGGGTCTGCTGATAAGTGTATTTATTGTTGCAGCTTAAAGGGTTGTACTATAAGAGATACACAACAAACTTTAAAAGGCTTATTAAAAAGGGAATTTATTTGATAGTTAAAGTTTTTATCTGTCTGGCTAAAGTTTGATGGGTTAATTTATGAGATCTTTTAAGAGCTGTGTATTTGTCGATCCTCTGGAGAACTAAAAATCACCTTAAAATGCCCTAGTGGCCAGAAGCAAATGATATCTGAGGTAGACAGCTCATCCCAAGATCACAGAACAAGAGTTCATGCAACAGGTTGAAATAATTGACCTTAGTTTTGTTATTGTTGCTATTTTTATGTTATTAGGTTTACTCCATACTTTTGGCTAATATGAAAATCTCTTTGACTTTGTTTCTCTTCTTTTATAGTTTCTTCTGATGCTTGGGATAAAAATGCACTTGTCAAGCTAGCTCAATCAGTAGCCAGCGCTAGTAATTTGACTGAATGTTGTATCTGTCACCCCTCTCCACGATCTGTGCATGAAAATCCAAATTAGCAACTCCCATATTAAATTATAGTCTTGTTCCCAATGCTACTAACTTCATCCTCATCTTTAAATGGGCCATACGTGTTAGTTTATAGCATCCTGCTGGATTACAGATCCAACTTTAGGCACCATGCTGTAATTTAACCTGAATTGTAAGCAAGAATTGTTCTGAAGTTGCGTGGCACCCTTCTGAGTGCCAGAATAATTTTCTGGTCTCACATGATAAACCCCCTGGAAAAATGTTAATATAGCAAATTTAACAGCCTGCCTAAGAGGAAAAAAGAGCATTTATATTGAACTTTGGAATTGGTTAAAGTTGGAATGATTGTCAGTTTGCAATAATTCTTTGATAGAAAATTGGCTTGAGAAGGTCAATCAAACCATCTCCTTCCCAGACAACATTACCAGAAATGGTATGATTTGTGCCCCTTATGGGTATGTATATTTATGTGGAGGGTCAGAGTATCCTTCAATAAACGAGCCAAATCCATGTGACCGCCTGTCATAGATTGAATTGTGTCCCCACAAAGTATCTGTCAATTTCGCTAGGCCATGATTCCCAGTATTGTGTGATTGTCCACCATTTTGTCACCTCATGTGATTTTCCTATGTGTTATAAGTCCTACCTCTATGATGTTAATGAGGTAGGATTAGTAGTGGCAGTTATGTTAATGAGGCAGGACTCAATCTAAAAGATTAGGTTGTGCCTTACGTTAATCTCTTTTGAGATATAAAAGAGAGAAGCAAACTGAGAGACAGGGGGACCTCATACCACCAAGACACAAGAGCCAGGAGAATAGCACATCCTTTTGACCTGGGGTCCCTGTGCTGAGAAGCTCCTCTACCAGGGGGAGATTGATGACAAGGAACTTCACCCAGAGCGGACAGAGAAAGCCTTTCCCTGGAGCTGGCACCCTGAATTTGGAATTCTAGCCTCCCAGACTGTGAGAGAATAAATTTCTCTTTATTAAAGCCAACCACTTGAGGTACTTCTGTTATAGTAGCGCTAGATGACTAAGACACCACCCTTATACCTGGACATTACCTTGCTTAGATGACTGCAACATGATGGGTACATGCACCTTAGGGACGTTAGGAATTCCTTTGAATATCCACTCTTATAATGATAGTACCCATTGGACAAGTGATTTGAAAATTCTTACTGAAACAAGAAAGATAAAGTGTTATATGATAACCCAAGAGCTCCTGGGGCAGGTTCAACGCTCCTTAGAGCACTTATATCTGGCTATGGTGTTTATCAGCTTGAACAATCTATCTGGAATCCATCTGCTACAGTAGCTCAAATTGCTGATGATATTGTGGATGGAATGGCTGCCCAATAAAAATTCTTAGACTCTCCTGTTAAACTGGTGTTAGATCATAGAATAGCTCTTGATTTTAGTCTGGCCTAAAAAGGGGAAGTTTGCGCCATTGCCAATATTTCTTGAGGCATTTGGATAAATACCTCTGGAGAAGTTGAATAAGATACTAGAAAAATTCACCAAAAAGCAACTTGGCTGCATTCCATACTTCCTGTACCACCTTTCTTAGATATTTTTAGTTGGGTGCCCAACAGTATTGATTCTGGGCTTGGCTCTATGCTACAAGCAGTTTTAATTATTTTAGCCATTTTACTGGTTATTAATGGATTAATTAAATGCAGTATGAAATACTTGTCTAATGCCTTTAATAAGACTGAAATTGCTTTTGCTATGCAAAGAATTATGTATTTTAAACAAATCAAATCTTTGGAAGGAAATTGAATCTTTACCTAAATTTGACCTTTTTATATGTGTTGCTTTTTTTTTTACATTTGGATTTTATTTTCTAAAGCTTACAAACGCTAGACCTGATGAGAAACCCCACCTTTGTTTTTCCTTGGGTACTTGAGCTGATCTTTTCTCATTTGAGCTGGTTCCAAATTTGTTCTTCCCATTTAGCCTCCCCTGCTGCCATGACCTCAACAGTGATCTACTCACCCTGAAGATGGGGCCCATTAGCATGGCAAGTTGAAGACACTCTCCTGACATATTTGAGGATATAGTAAATATCAGTAGAACCATTCAGACAACGTCCTTGCAGAAGAAGAGACACCTGATTGTGGGTAATCAGCACCCCCTAGTGGGGGGTGGGCCAAAAGGGGGGAATGTGTTAGCTGACCTTAAAATTTTATATAGAAGTGTTTAGAGCAAGCTCTGGGCAGGAGGTTGGTTTAGCCTATCTGTAGGAACTCAATGTGGGGCAAGGGAGAAAGAAGGAGATACGATTATTCTCAGAATGTGGTCAGATAAGTTCCAGGAAGCCTGTATTGCTCCAGGAAACATCAGATAAGAAAGTTTTCGGGAGGGGGGTGGTGGTGGTGGTGGTGTGTGTTGATGCCTGTGATCTTTAGAAATGGAAAATACTTGAAAAATACGCTGTTTTTGAAATATACTAAGTCATGCGTACCCTGTTAAACTTTATGTATAAAAGTCTCTTCTCTGTTCGAACCACAGAGCACTTTGTATTTTTACCAAGTGCTGCCCAGCTATAGCTGTTCTATCCCTCAATAAAACTCTTTTCTTTCACTCTCCTCAGAGTAAAGATTTTGTTCTCTTTGACAATTATAAGAATTATCTACTTTGTACCCAAAGCGTAGGTGTTCATATTTGACACAAACACAACTTGAAATTGACAAGAGGTTGAGATCAGGTTTATAATGACACAAAGTCTCAAGTACTCAATTCATTTATAAGGTTAATGTTTTAGAAATGGCCCTGTGAAGCTATCCTAAATGCATAGTTAATTATGAGCTAAGCATGACAGTCACTAAGGCCATCAGTTAAGCAACAATGACTAACAACTATAAACAATGTTTACAACTCAGCTCGGTATAAAAAAAAGATGCCATTGAGCCGATTCCAACTTATAGTGACCCTATAGGACAGAGTAGAACTGCCCCATAGGGTTTCTAAGGAGTTGTTGGTGGATTCAAACTGCCAACTTTTTGGTTAGCAGCTGAACGCTTAACCACTGCGCCACTGGGGCATAGCATGTAACTAATACAGCACGTGACTTCTACTTCATCTATGGCGCGTAGCATATGTTTTGGAAATCAGTTTAAAGTATAGCAATATACCGTCAACCCTGAGCTATTTTTGTACGTAAAGACAGCACCTATTTACTTAAAATCAGTTTATTCCATTCTGTACTTTCTTTTTAATGGTAGCGGGAGTGCGAGAGGAAGGGCTTTTTTCAGCTCCGCTAATGACAATTTCCCTTTCTAGAAGTGCTACTCAGTTACATATTTCTGGACTTGTTAAGTCCACAGTTGCTCCCATTCATAAGGTTGGTTACGACACAAAGTACCTGTGGTAGTTAGAATTTTAATGTGCCTGTTCAACGGATAACTTCTCTCGAGGGTTTGGATCTGCACTGGCAGAAGTAAAGAAGGTATACTGGTAAACCAAAAGCATGAGGCAAGATCAAGTTCTTTTTTTTGCAGTGCATCATCCCCTCCTCCCACCATCACTACAAACAATGGCCAACTGTACTGTTGGAATCCCAGGATCTAACTGGGGAATAAAATGCTTCTGCTAATTATAGGATGGAACCCTAATGGTGCAAGATTGGTAGTTCCAACCTACTCAGCTGGTCAGGTGGAAGAAAGACCTTGTGATCTGCTCCCATAAAGATTACAGCCTCGGAAACCCTATGGGGTAGTTCTACTCTGTCACATGGGGCCGCAATGAGTCCAAATCGACTCCAATAAAAACAATCTGTTACAAGAATTTCACAGGCAGGCTGATGATGGCTTTTGAATTTAGCATTGGGGTGCCTTGACCAGGTTTCTAAAATCCTACTGGGTTATTTTTCTTCTAAGTCCAACACTATGTTTCTAAAACTATCTCTCTTTTGCCCTTTCTCCTTTTTGAAACAAAACTGTGCTGAATTACCTTTTCAGTTAACTAAGAGCTCACCCCTCCTTTAAGGTGTCACACTGAGGGAGAGGTCGACAGGCAGCATAGTCCGAGGGGCGCGCGCCACCTGGCACAAACAAGCTATTGGGGAGCCCCCCCCCACCCTGACCGGATCCCGCAGGTAGCGGGGGGATGACCCCACATCCCATCTGAGCCAACAACCCCCTTGCCTGCCCCGCGCAGGCTGCAGCTGCCTACGTCCCAAGATTACCGGACGTTTGACGACTGACAAGTGAACAACAATAACAACCGTCAGCATGACTGTCACCGCGACTCCCGGCCGCTGAGCCAACGCCGCGCTAGAGTCCGGATTGCACTTCAGAGCAAGCTGGCGCGGCGCCATAGGGAAGGGAAGACCCTCCTACCTACTGGGCAGTGATGACCTTTCCTCCTGCGATTTAAAACCTTCAGAATTCGAATCCTTCCCCATTGCCCCTCGCATCCTGCCCACTCTAGGCCCCGCCTTTCTGGCTCGCATTTCGCACAGGCGCAGAGAAGAGCGCGCACAGCCTTTTGGGATTGGTAGTTTCTTTAAGGGCGGTTCACCTCGGGAAGGAAGCGGAAGGACAGACCAAGGACTACAAGGTCCGGCGTCCTCCGAAATGGGTAGGCGGTGAGAAGGAGTTGAGGGGAGGACAAACCGGGGTTTTTAAACAATAATTTTGAGGCAGTGTGATGGGGGAATTCCCGAGTGCGTCACGGAGCCAGGCCGATAGGCGGGACTGTCGAAGTGGCGCTGGGGTTACCGCTTTGTGAAGACTGGGGACTTTTGAAAGGAGTCTTTGCTCTCCCTCCCCCCGTGTTTTTCCAGGGGCCTGAGTAGCCCCCGTGCGTGTCCGTGGAAGGCGGAAACGGCTGCGGGGACGGTCTCTGCGGAGAGGCCTAATCCTCGCCCGCCATGTCTGGGGGCTTCGAGCTGCAGCCGCAAGACGGCGGCCCTCGGGTAGCCCTGGCGCCAGGGGAGACGGTGATCGGTCGCGGGCCGCTGCTGGGAGTAAGTGTAGGAGGGAGCTCGGCCGGACGGGGAGAGCCGCCCGATATTCTCGCTTCCTCTGAAGGTCCCACTCCACGCCCTGGCCTGATTCCCACCACGCCGGCCCTGCCTCTTTGGATTTGAGAAGTTTGAGCACGTTTTTCCAGTAAACTTCCGTCAACTCAGAAACATCTCCTGTTTTGCCTTTAACAAGCACTGATTTGTGTTATTATTCTCTTATGCAGTGGCCTAGGGCCCAAATCCAACCTGTTTTTGTGTGGGCCCGCAAGCTGAGAATCATTTTTACATTTTTAAGTGGAAAACAAAAACCAAATAATCTTTTAGCTTTTCAGGAAAAGGAGTTGTTGAATAGTTGAATATTTACTCTCTGACCATTACAGAAAAATTTCTCCAAACTCTTAACTCTTACAGGCTAATTTCTTTTAAGCTTTGGCCGGGCTGTGTGCGTGGCCCTTAAATTTTATTGTAGTAGTCTGTTCCAGGCGTTGATCTAAGAACTTTACATATGTTAACTTATTTAATCCTTTCACAAACCCCATGAGTTAGGTACTTTTATAGATGAGAAAATTGAGTCATAGACAGATTAAGGGCACACAGATGCCACTAAGCTAAGTCCCACCGTCTTTGAGAGGTTCAGGAGTTTAAAAAAAAATTGTGTATTCTACAGTACTATAGATTTCTCTCTTCTCTCTAAATGTATATTATTTCCTTCAACATTCTTTGTTTAGTGTTCACTTTTGCAACACATTTTGCAGGTCCTAGTACTGTGTGGAGCCCTGGTGGTGAAGTGGTTAAGAGATCAGGCTGTTAACCAAAAGGTTAGCGGTTCAAATCCACCCGCTGCTCCTTGGAAACTCAATGGCACAGTTCTGCTCTGTCCTATAGGGTCGCTATGAGTTGGAATTGACTCCATGCCGTGGGTTTGGTTTTTTTTGGTTTTAGCACCTTGTGAGAGATAGAAGATGAACGAGACATAGGTGCCTGCCTCCTAGGAGTTTTCACTTGGGCTGGGGAGACAGACCTATGTCAGTGAACCAACCAAGGGGAGTAAGGAGTGTGGACTATTATCCTGGCTAACCTCTAGTGTCTAATTACATCTGGGAAGTTTGTGATCTGTTGGCTTCCACTTTGTGTTGCCTGGTCTAAATCAATGGTATTAAGAAAGAAATTACATATAACTAAATACAAAGGTTTATTAGTTTTACTAAAAAGACTTTAAATAGAAATTACACTTCATTTAGCTAGCAATTTTGTACTGTACATTTTGTTATCTACAAATTCTAACTCCTCTAAGTACCAGCATTTTTGAAACTTTAACTCTTTTTCCCTCGGTTTTTCATTTTGAAGATTAAATGCCTGTAGAAAAGTTGAAAGAATAGTACAATGAACACCTATATCCTTAAGTTTGGTTAAATAATCATTAACATTTTGCCACATTTTCTCTCTCTCTGTATTTGTAATTTTAATTTTTTTTTCCTGAACCCATTTGAAAATATGTTGCATACATTATGGCACTTCATGCTGAAATGTATCAACATGTATCACCTAAGAACAAGGACAGATCTATGTATTGTTATCACAGTCAAGAAATTTGTAACTGTACAGTAAATTTTAATATTTCATATTTAGTTTTACCTGACTTTTCTAATAATGTCCTTTTTTAAAAATTCAGGATCTAATCAGGTACTGTCTTCTGTCATAGCCCTCAAATAAAAATCCTTACTCTAAAGATACTCTTCCTGGAACATTCTTACTCAACATTCGTTAACCCCTTTTTGCTACCAGAAAGTGGTGGGAGTTGACTCTTTGTTGTGAGCCCAGCCCAAATGCCTCTAGTTTTGGATTCTGCTAGCATATTCTTCCTTTTTGATAAAGCCACCACTAAGGGGTGCTGATCACCCACAGTGGCGTAAGCTGCCTTCTGCAAAGACTTGGCCTTTTTTTCTTTTCCCTTGTTAAAGGTTAAAGACTTTTCTTCACCTTGCCAAGCTAAGAGGCCTCATCTTCAAGGTGAGTTTGATTCCGCTGGGGTTATTGTAGCCGATAAAGCCACATGGGAGAGACAGATTGAGGCTGAATTCACAAAACAAAAGTTAAGGCACAACCCCCTAGGAAACAAAGGAGGTTTTCTTCTAAAATTCTTTATCATTGAATGAATTAATAAAGATTCATATGAGTAGTTGGTTAAGCTAGGTACTTAGGTTGCAGATTTCTTCAAAGTACATAACCTTCTTCATAGCAAGAAGAATTTTGGTTGCAAGCATTGGATAGACATTTCATACTACATTTAATTAAATGTATTGCAGTCATTACAGTAATCAAAAGAATTAATCAAATTTGTAACAGTGCAACCAGAAATCAGTGCTGTTTGGTAGCCAACTAAAGATACCTAAGAAAGGAGAGTCAGGCATGGGAGGTATGGAATGCAACCAGTTAGTGTTCTGGTGAATTTTCTTGATATCCTGTTCTACTTCTGTAGTATTTATCCAAGTGCAGCAGGAGGTATTGGGAATTACACAAACTCTTCCTTCCTGGGCCAGGAGAAAATCAAGAACTATTCTATGATCTAATACAGTCTTAACAAGGGATTCTAAAGATTTTTTGTTGAGCAGCCATTCCATCGGAATGTCATCAGCGATTTGAGCTATAGTAGCAGATAAATTGTGAATAGATATTTTCAAGCTGAGGGATGCCATAGCTGGGTAAAAGTGCTTGGAGAAACACCCGTCCTATTCCAGATTTTTCACCTATTGGGTTATGGCTTGGCATAAAGTCTCTTTTATTTCAGGTGAGGTTTTCAAATCACTGGTCCAATGTGTACTTTCATTATAGGAATGGATATCTAAAGGGACTCCTGTAAGACCTAGAGTGCATTGACCCACCATGTTCCAACCATAAGCAAGGTAATACCCTTGCATAGAGTTTGTCATGGGTCTGGTTCTTCTGCTTTGTGGTATTTTTTTCCCATTTAATTTTTTATTATACTTTAGATGAAAGATTACAGAGCAAACTAGCTTCTCATTAAACTTTACACATTGTTTTGTGACGTTGGTTGCTGGTCCCATGACATGTCAACACTCTCTTCTTCTTGACCTTCGGTTCCCCATTACCAGCTTTCCTGCCCCCTCCTGCCTTCTCATCTTTGTCCCTGGGCTGGTGTGCCCATTTAGTCTCGTTTTGTTTTATGGGCTTGTCTAATCTTTGGCTGAAGGGTGAACCTCAGAAATGACTTCATTACTGAGCTAAAAGGGTGTCCGAGGACCATACTCTTAGGGTTTATCCAGTCTCTGTAGACCAATTAGTCTGGTCTTTTTTATTTTTGAGTTAGAATTTTGTTCTACATTTTTCTCCAGCTCTGTCCAGGACCCTCTATTGTGATCCCTCTCAGAGTAGTCAGTGGTGGTAGCCAGGCATCATCTAGTTGTGCTGGGCTCATTATGGTGGAGTCTGTGGTAGTTGTGGTCCATTAGTCCTTTGGACTAATCTTTCCCTTGTGTCTTTGGTTTTCTTCATTCTCCTTTGCTCCATATGAAGTGAGACCAGTGGAGTATCTTAGATGGCCGCTCACAAGCTTTTAAGACCCCAGATGCTACTCACCAAAGTAGAATGAAGAACATTTTCTTTATAAACTATGTTATACGAATTGAACTATGTTCCCCGAGACCATGGTCCCCACAGTCCTTAGCCCAGTAATTTGGTCCATCAGGGAGTTTGGATATGTCTATGGAGCTGCCATCACTTTGCCTTGTACAAGTTGTACTGGCTTCCCCAGTATTATGTACTGTCTTAACCTTCACCAAAGTTACCACTTATCTATTGTCTGTTTAATGTTTTTTGCTCCCCACCCCTCCCCTCCCTCATAACCATCAAAGATTGTTTATTTTTGTGTGTAAATCATTTCATGAGTTTTTATACTAATGGTCTCATACAATATTTGCCCTTTTGTGATTGACTTATTTCACTCAGCATAATGCCCTCCAGATTCATCCATGTTGTGAGATGCTTTGCAGATTCATCATTGTTCTTTATCGTTGCGTGGTATTCCATTGTGTGTATGTACCATAGTTTATCCATTCATCCGTTGATGAGCTTCTAGGTTGTTTCCCTCTTTTTGCTATTGTGGATAACACTGCAGTGAACATGGGTGTGCATATGTCTATTCATGTGACGGCTTTTATTTCTCTAGGATATATTCCTGGGAGTGGAATTGCTGGATCATATGGTATTTCTATTTCTAGCTTTTTAAGGAAGCACCATATCATTTTCCAAAATGTTTGTACCATTTTGCATTCCCAACAGCAGTGCATAAGAGTTCCAGTCTCTCTGCAGCCTCTCCAACATTTGTTATTTTCTGTTTTTTTGATTCGTGCCAGTAATGCTGGGGTGAGATGCTACCTCATTGTGGTTTTGATCTGCGTATCTCTAATGGCTAGTGATTGAGAGCATTTCCTCATGTATCTGTTAGCTGCTTGAATGTCTTCTTTGGTGGAGTGTCTGTTCATTTCCTTTGCCCATTTTTTAATTGGATTATTTGTCTTTTTGTTGTAGAGGTGTTGGATTTTCCTGTAGATTTTAGAGATTAGAACTTTTTTGGATTTGTCATAGCCAAAATTTTTTCCCAGTCTGTAGGTTCTCTTTTTACTCTTTTGTTGAAGTCTTTTGATGAGCATAAGTGTTTAATTTTTAGAAGATCCCAGTTATCTAGCTTATCTTCTGGAGTTTGTGTGTTGAAGGTTATGGTTTGTATCCTGTTAATGCTGTGTATTAGAGCCGCTAGCATTGATCCTATTTTTTCTTTTATGATCTTTACAGTTTTTGGTTTTATATGTAGGTCTTTGGTCCACTTTGAGTTAGTTTTTGTGTAATGTATGACATGTGGGTCCTGTTTCATTTTTTTTTGCAGATGGACATCCAGTTTTGCGAGCACCATTTGTTAAAAAGATTGTCTTTTCCCTATTTGATGGACTTTGGGCCTTGTCGAAGATCAGGTGACCGTAGGT